CATGTAGGATCTCTGTCCTTAATGTGCTGTACATTGAGACTTAATGCTATAACGGGTACTCAAACAGTATTTTTCACTTTGTGTTTCTATGGGGGTGCAAACTGTTGAAATCTCTACTTAATGTATACTAAACTGATCTTCTGTATATAAAGAGAATTGAAAATGAATCTTCATATGAATGGAAGGGGAGAGAGAGCAGGAAAGCGGAGGGTTGCGGGTTGGAGTGAAGTCACTGGGGGGGGGCAAGCCATTGTAATCCATAAGCTGTACTTTGGAAATTTATATTCATTAAATAAAAGTTAATAAATGAATAAATAAATGCTTAATTAAAAAAATAGAAATTATGGGATATGCGCTCTATAGAATACTATACAAAAGTAAAAACAATGAAATCTGGTTATTTGCAACAAAATGGAGGAATCTGGAAAACATCATGCTGAGTGAAATAAGCCAGTCCCAAGAGACAAATATCATATGTTCTCCCTGATTGGTGACAACTAACTGAGCACCTAAAAGGAAGCCTGTTGAAGTGAAATGGACACTTTGAGAAACAGTGACTTGATCAGCCCTTGTCCTGACTGTGGAGGAACAACTTATAATTTATCCCTTTTAGTATTTTTATGTTCTACTTAAATCTGTTGGTTGATCTCTGTAATTAACACACAATTATTCTTAGGTGTTGAAATTTAACTGAAAAGTGATCTCTGTTAAATATAAGAGTGGGAATAAGAGAGGGAGGAGATGTACAATTTGGGACATGCTCAAGCTGACTTGCCCCAAATGGTAGAGTTAGAAATGTGCCAGGGGATTCCAATTCAATCCCATCAAGGTGGCATGTACCAGTGCCATCTCACTAATCCAAGTGATCAATTTCTGTTCACAATTGATCATAATGATAGGACTAAGAGTCAAAGGGATCACATAAACAAGACTAGTGTCTGCTAATACTAACTGATAGAATCAAAAAGGGAGAGAATGATCCAGCAGGGAAGCAGGATACACAACAGACTCATAGAATGGCGGATGTCCTAAACAGCACTCTGGCCTCAGAATCAGCCCTTAAGGCATTTGGTTCTGGCTGAAGAGCCCATGAGAGTATTTTAGGTATGGAGAGCCAAGTCACTCTGGCAAAAATAAATAAATAAATAAATAATCCTAAATGAAAGATCTGTGCAAGTGAGATTCCAGTGGACAGAACAGGCCATCAAAGAGGTAGGTACCTTTCTCTGAAGGGAGGAGAGAACTTCCACTTTGACTATGGCCTTGTCTAAATAAGATCAGAGTCAGGAAACTCAAAAGGCTTCCATAGCCTTGGAAACTCATGACAAGAGCCTAGGGTGATTACTGACACCATAAACAAGAGTGTCAAATTGTTAAGTCAACAACAGGAGTCACTGTGCACTTACTCCTCATGTAGGATCTCGGTCCTTAATGTGTTGTACAATTTGAGTGAATGCTATAACTAATACTCAAACAGTGTTTTACACTTTGTGTTTCTGTGTGGGTGCAAACTTTTGAAAGCTTTACTTAATATATGCTAGATTTGTCTTCTGTATATAAAGAGAATTGAAAATGAATCTTGATGTAAATGGAATGAGAGAGGGAGCAGGAGATGAGAGGGTTGTGGGTGGGAGAGAAGTTATGGGGGGGAAGCCATTGTAATGCATAAGCTGCACTTTGGAAATTTATATTTATTAAATAAAACTTAAAAAAGCAAGCATTTGTTCTAGATAATTCTAAAAATTAACAAATATAGTGTTTATACTTTGGCACTTTAGAAATGCAACATTGAAGTGAAAAGCAGGGAGAGTAGTAAAATAATGGATTTAACATCTCAATAAAACTAATTGTATTTATATATTCTTATTTGATTGTATTTTCTTAGTCCCCAGTAGTCATGATATACTGTATTCAAATTATAAAAGTGGCCAATGATGGAGCTACTATCCTAATACACAGTATTCACTCCTACTCTCTGAATCAGTGCCATATTGAATGTATTGGATTGAAACCAACAGATGGGGAGAGCCAGTACAGCCATGGCAGTGGATATTCACAGGCCTGAGAGGACCTTTATTCAGTGTGACTCTAGTTCATAAACCTTTGCCCAAGAGTATTTGAATGAGCCAAAAGAATTAAGTCTTCATAAAGGGGTTACCAACATGAGCTACTTCTCTTCATATGAACTATCTTATTCTTAATGTGGGTGAGAAAGAGAATTTTTGAAATATTGTGGAATACAGGACACATAAATAAAAACATTGTGATAGATAATTGAAAGTCTGTCTTCCACAGAGTAGTAGGTAAAACTATAGAAGAAAAAATAAGGAACTGAGGTAACAATCTATGAATACTCTTTATAAACATGTAATAGGAATTTTACATATATTCTGGTGGTTTTTTAAAAAGTGAAATTAGAAGTAAGCTGAGTTTTCTTATATTCACTTTTCATTAAGTAGCATTAAAAAAACATTATTGTATGACACAAACTTGTAGAAGCATGTGCAGTCATTCTAAGAAAACAGTGCAGAATGGTATAGGTTTGTCACTGCTCTAAACTTTTCAGTGATTGCAAATGAACATTTCAACTTAAGCATATAAAACTACAAAGTAAATTGCATTAATTCTCAGTAGTAAAATGCTTATTAGGGCTACGGCTGTTAATAGAATGTTCAAGTTTTCAATTTACATTGCTTTTCAGAATCTAAGGGTAACTGAAATTATTCCATGAAATGTAAAACAATATGTTGACTTTTATCTTTTGCTACTCATTACCTTATATATGATATCAGCCATGCTGGTATTTTTTAATGATTTTATTTATTTATTTTCAAAAATTTATTTATTTATTTTAGAGGTAGAGTTACAGAGAGAGAGACAGAGATAGAGAGAATGGTCTTCCATCCACTGGTTCACCCCCTAAATGGCTGCAATGTCTAGAGCTGAGGCAGTCCAAAGCCAGGAGCCAGGATGTTCTTCCAGGTCTCCAACGTGGGTGCAGGGGCCCATGCACTTGGGCCATCTTCTCCTGCTTTCCCAGGCCAAGGCAGAGAACTGCATGTGAAGAGGAACAGCCAGGACAGGGACCGGCATTCACATGGGATGCTGGCACTGCAGGCAAAGGCTTACACTGCTGTGCCATAATACCAACCCTGCTAGTAGTTTTAATAGTGATATGTGCAGTGCCATGGCTCACTAGGCTAATCCTCCACCTGCAGTGCTGGCACCCCAGGTTCTAGTTCTGGTTGGGGTGCCAGATTCTATCCCAGTTGCTTCTCTTCCAGTCCAGCTCTCTGCTGTGGCCTGGAAGTGCAGTGGGGGATGGCCCAGGTCCTTGGGCCCTGCACCCGCATGGGAGACCAGGAGGAAACACCTGGCTCCTGGCTTCAGATCAGCACAACGTGCTTGCCACAACACACCAGCCGTAGTGGCCACTTGGTGGGTGAGCCAATGGAAAAAGCAAGACCTTTCTCTCTGTCTCTCTCACTGTCTAAATCTGCCTGTCAAAAAAAAAGTGATATGTAAGAGGCAGCTTAAAGCACATTGCAGTTGCACTATTTTCTATTGCATCAATACAACACAACACTTAGTGCTCAAAGCAGACCATGCTGTTTTATTTTTTCATGCCATTTGCTCTTCCAGGAAAACCTAATTCTCCTGATTCCTGCTTTTACACCCCAGGTCTTACTTAATTGATTTTTAGTCCTACTGCAAAGTAACATTCATATCACCTCTACTAGAAAGATTTTTCTGACAGCCTGCCACCATCCACATGCTTTCTCCCATACCTACTGTGACTATGGAAATGCTCCAAATTTTTGCACTTATCATAGCACCTTGAACTTTCTTATTTCCTGAATCTAATCCATTCAAGTAAACTGAATAATAATTTTTTGATAACAATAGCCTGTATTGCTTTATCTTAGATGGAAGAAAATGCAACCTATATAATAATTTGCTAAGGGTATTTGCAATACATAAAGCTTTCAAAAACTAACTTCCTAGAGTGAGCATTTGCCTTGGCAGTTAAGATGCTGGTTAAAATGCCTGTATCCAGGGTCACTGCTGCAGTGTAGTAGGTAAAGCCACCACCTGCAGCACCAGCCTCTTATATGGGCATTATTTTGAGTCCTAGCTGCTCCACTTCCATCCAGATACATGATAATGTGCCCAGGAAAGCAGTGTAGGATAGTCCAAGTCTATGGGCCACCCACCCACATGGGAGACCCAGAAAAAGTTCCTGGCTTCTGGATTCAGATCAGCCCAGCTCTGGCCATTCTCTCTCCTTCTATAACTCTGCCTTTCAAATAAATAAACAAATCTTAAAAAAACTTACCTGTATCCCATATAGGAGTAACTCACTTTAATTCCCAGCTCTAGCTCTTCATTCCAGCCTCCTGCTAATGCAGATTCTGGAGGATGAATTCCTGCCACCCACTGAGAGATCTGGATAGTTCTTGGCTCCAGGTTTTGGCCTCCCAGCCACTGCAGACATTTGAGGAGTGAACAAGGGGAGGGGAGCATGCTCTTTCTTTTTCTCTCATTCTTTCTTTCTGCCTTTCAAATGGGTAAATCTAAAAAAAACCTTTTAACCCATTAATGGAAATATTTGAATGTAGTATGAAATTATGAATGCACAGTATCTGATGTGAATCTTTTAGCCTATTATTGCAAAGAGGACCAATACAATGTAAATAAACATGAAATAATACATTAAATATGAATAATGTGAAGCACTTTTGAAATATAGGAATAAGAGACGCACCCAGAGCCTCCCACCCACTGCTGCTGCACCTCTTCATTTGCTGCCTGTGGGTCCCACGTGCTGGGGACTTTCTCTGCTCCACACTCTGCTTTGCTCCTCATGTGCCCGGAAGAAAGAGGACGTGCTCCCTGGACATTCCACAATGATGATGGCATTTGAAGACCTGGCTGTTTACTTTGCCTGGGAGGAATGGCAGAACATGAACAAAGTTCAGAAAATCCTGTACAGGGATGTGATGCTGGAGACCTACAGCAGCCTGCTCTTCTTGGGACACTGCATTACCAAACCCGACTTGATCTTTAAGTTGGAGCAAGGAGCACAGCCATGGATGGTGAGCGAATTCCTAAATCAGAACCTTCCAGTTGCCATGAAAAGTGATGACATTATTAGAACCAACCAGGAAATTCAAGAAAACATTTTTAAGCAGAATGTTATTACAAATAACAAGACATCAACTCCCAAAAGAGTTATGTCAATAAAAATACTTAGTTTAAGTTCAAGTCATGTTTCAAGGCTGATTAACAAAAAAAGAAATTATTCATCAATGAAACCTGAGGAATACAACGTGTGTCACAATGTGTTTCCCCACTGTGGGCATGATGAGCTGCAAGCTGGAGAGAAATTTGATGCCGCTAAGGTACCTGAGAACTCTGCCCAGTGCTCTGAGCCTCTTAGTGAGTATCACAAGATTCAGACTGTGAAGCCTTCATTTGAACATAGTGCACAAGGGAAAGACTTCAAAAAGAAGAAGATATTCTTTAGATTTGGCACGGTCCATATGGGAGATTCCTGTAATAAGCCAACTGTCACTGTTGGAAAGACAACTCAAATAGAAAAGACTCTTCATAAAAATACTAACCTCAGTAAGCATCAACAAATCAACACAGGAGAGGAACTCTATGAAGATATGGGATATGTGGAGCCTCTTATTTATAAATCAAATCTTGCAATAAATCAGAGACAACATATACAGAAAAAAACCCTATGCATGTAAGCCTCGTGGAAAATCCTTCAACTTTAAGTCCTGACATACCATCATTCACAGTAGTTCCACACAGGAAAACTCCTATGCGTGTAATGAATGTGGAAAAGCCACCTACCAGAAGTTAGATGTCATTAGACATCAGGAAATTCACACAGAGGACAAACCTAATGAATGTAAAGACTATGGAAAAGTCTCTGGCAAGAAGTCACATTTCATGATGCACAGAGAATTCACACAGGAAAGAAACCTTATGAATGTAATAACTGTGGCAAAGCCTTCAGCTATAAGTCACAGCTCATAATCCATCAGAGAATTCACACAGGAGAGAAACCTTAGGAGTGCAATGACTGTGGAAAAGCCTTTGGACGGAAGTCGCAACTCATAATCCATCAGAAAATTCAGACAGGGGAGAGACCTTATGAATGTAAAGACTGTAGAAAAGCCTTTGTCCAAATGTCAGACCTCAGAAGACATCAGAGAATTCACACAGGGGAGAAACCTTATGAATGTAATGACTGTGGAAAAGCCTTTCGCTATAGGTCACAACTTTTAATCCATCAGAGAATTCACACAGGGGAGAGACCTTATGAATGCCAAAATTGTGGGAAAGCCTTTGGCCAGAAGTCACATCTCATAATGCATCAGAGAATTCATACAGGTCAGAAACCTTATGAATGTAATGACTGTGGAAAAGCATTTGGCTCTAAGTCACAACTCATAACCCATCAAAGAATTCATAGAGGGGACAGGCCTTATAAATGTAATGACTGTGGAAATCCCTTCAGCTATAAGTCACAACTTATAATCCATCAGAGAATTCACACAGGGGAGAAACCTTATGAATGTAATGATTGTGGGAAAACATTTGGCAAGAAGTCACATCTCATAATGCATCAGAGAATTCACACAGGGGAGAAGCCTTATGAATGTAATGACTGTGGAAAAGCCTTCAGCTATAAATCACAACTCAAAATCCATCAGAGAATTCACACAGGAGAATAACCTCATGAATGTTATGACTACAGAAAAGCTTTTTGCTGTAAATCACAACTCATAACACCTGACAGCTTTTGTAAGGCTGGGTGAGTGTTGACAAATTCAGTTTCTTTTTGTTTGATAGGTCTTTACTTCACATTCAACATAAATGAGTACTTTGCAGGGTATAGTATTCTCAGTGGATGGATTTTTTTTCTCTTAAGACTCACACTATGTCTCTCCATTTTCTCATAGACCATAGAGATTCTAATAAGAAGTCACCTGTGAATCTAGTTGGAAATCCTTTGAAATTTATCTGACATTTCTGTATTGCACATTTTGGTATTTTCTTTTTGTTTTATTGTTAAAAGTTTGCAATATCTTTTGGCAGCCTATAAAGTCCTTCTCATGAACCTGAGCTGGTGAATCAAGGGAGCATAAGATTACATTTCCTGCACTGCAGCCATCCATAACTAAACAAGGAGGATGATCCCTATATTTTCTTTGCAGACAGCCCATCTTCCTGGAAAGCAAATAGGATACAGCAGAACTCATGGACAATTCTAACTTTTTTATTAATGTGTGGTTTAGTAAGTTCGTATTTGAAATAAATGTGCTATGAATGAATACATTCAAATATAGAAAGAACATTTTCTATTTTCACTAACTTTACTTCTATTTAGTTTTGATAATTATACTGTGGTTTGAAAACTCACACCAGATTATTGCCGATAATTATTTAGAGAAATGCTTATTTGATGGATAGAACTGAGAATGCATGGAGACTGTACTGCAGATCCTTAAATAAATCTCCATATATTTCCATATGTGCAAGTTATACTGCCAACTGTCCAAGCTATATTTTCAAGAGAATATTTGCATTTCTTTTTTTTCTTTAACCAACTCAATATAGACTCACTTTAGCATTTAAGAAATTTACCAATAACTAATTTCTAGTCAGATTTAAAGACTACTTTCTACCCTTTGTACTTGAATGTATTTTTAATTTTTTACATATTTGAGAGCTAGAGAGACAGATTGACCAAGTGAGAGAGACAGGCATATACAGAGTTCTCATCTACTCTTTCACTCCCCAAATGCCCAGAGCAGCTAGAATTTGATGGATACTGGCCCAAGTCACCCAAATTAGGGGTACACTCTGCTAGACTACAATGGTCTACATGATCAGGAAGGTGTAATGAGGAGCCGGAATAGGGAATCAAACAAAACCTCTCTGATGTGGAACTAGGGCAGCTTAACTAGCATCTTATCTACTATGCTACATGTTTGTCCCATTTTAAAATCTTTTTGCCATTTTTGCAACTACTGTCCATGATTTTCTCTTGGCAATTCTTCTTCATTAGTTTCTACCAAGAACTAACTGGTGTTATGCTTCTTTCATGGACTTCTCAATGACCTTCATTGTATGACCCATCCTAATGCTATATGTAGTTTCTCATTCATTCCACCCCCTAATTCACCATGACTGATTTGGTCATATGTTGTTTTACATTCCTGTTTCTAGCTTGGGCATCTTTCCAAGCTCTGGATACTTTCAACTTTCTGTTGAATTCTTCTTTGTAGATTTCCAAATGGTACCTCAAGTTCAATAAATCCAAAATGATAACCAAAAAAAAGAAATATAGGAATAAGAGCCTCTGATAACCTGTTCATTTGTTAAGCCAACAAGAACCATGGTAATATTATCCAAATCAACTTTCTGAGACCTTTGGAATTCAACCAAAGGATGACAACAATCTGAGGGGGTAGTTATTCAAGAAAAATGCTGAATCTCAATAGGAACAATAGGGTTTGTGGTGTTTTACCTTGCCTTATTTTCATATTCATTTCCTAAGCTCCATAGTAATCTTGAAATATTAGCCTTTAATTGCCTTGTAATAGCTGTGAAAATTAGCAGCCCAGCAGCTAGTGGAGAAGGCAAAATGAAGATAGACCTTCCAAGAAGCCCCATCCTCAGAGAGCTGTTGTTTTTTAAATTGACTGACAGCTCCCTGGAAAAGCAGTGTTTACAAGGCATGTCTTTGACCTGACTCAGTGCACACTCTGTGAGAAAAACTTCACTGCTGGTCCCGTTTTTTGAAAACAATTGGAAGCAATTGTTTAACATTATAACTGCCCAAGACAATGATTCTAATTGAGGCCAAAAAAAGGCTGACCAAAAAATGTAAAGTGAAAATATGGGAAATGAGATAACTATAGTGGGCTTTGAAAATCTTCTAAATGTTCCCAGAGATCTAGAAGGCCACACATTTGTGCAGCTTTTTGCCGACTGAGAAAATGAGCAGCCATAGAACTCTCACCTCTGTTCGGACTTGATGGAGTGTGCAAACAGGAAGTGGTTGCTAAGGCAGAGCTGTTTACTCTGTAGTGATGAAAGCATGTGCCAGCACACACACAGAGTTTAATAGGGTAATAAATAGTTGAAGAAATTTAAGAAAATAATAATAGGGTAGTAAGTAGTTTAAGAAATTTAAGAAAATTTTTGTCTAATAATTAGCTATATACTAACAAAATTAACAGAGATTTAAGTGGTTAACATACAAAGAATATTCCAGGAAGGTTGGCTAAAATAAACAGCAGCAACAACAAGCCCTGTTGAGTGGATATAGAATGTAATTCATAGAGTTTACACATTATACTATTCATAATGTGGGTTTTTCAAAAAATATTAAAGGAAAACAGTAAATATAAGAAGACATAGCACATAAATATAGAGATAAAAAGCAGTTCTCAGAAACTCTTGTTAGGAAGCCCAGGTGTTATATTTACTAGACAAAGGCTTAAAGTAACTGTCTTTTTTGTGTTTTGACAGGTGGAGTTAGACAGAGAGAGAGAGACAGAGTGAAAGGTCTTCCTTCCGTTGGGTCACTCCCCAAATGGCCGCTATGGTCGGCACGCTGTGCCAATCCAAAGCCAGGAGCCAGGTGCTTCCTCCTGGTCTCCCATGCAGGTGCAGGGCCCAAGCACTTGGGCCATCCTCCACTGCCTTCCCAGGCCTCAGCAGGGAGCTGGACTGGAAGAGGAGCAACCAGGACAGAATCCACTGCCCCAACCAGGACTAGAATCCAGGGTGCTGGTGTCGCAGGCAGAAGATTAGCCTAGTGAGCCATGGTGCCGGCCAAATTAACTGCCTTAAATATCTTCAGAGAACTAAAAACTTATGTCCAAAAATTACAGAAAAGTATGAGAACAATGTGTTACCCAATATAGAATATCAATTTTAAAAATAGCTATTATAAAAAGGAATGAAATAGAAATTGTGTTTAAAAGTATAATAAATGAAATTAAAAATTCATTTTGGCAGTTATCCCATGCATATAGCAGCTACCTTGGGCTGCAGAAGAAGATGGTGGTCTCCACAACAGTTAAAATTCCTAGTAATTTTTGCTTGTTGGAAGAACTCGAAGAAGGACAAAAAGGAGTAGGTGATGGGATGGTTAGCTTGGGTCTTGAAGATGATGAAGATATGACACTTACAAGGTGGACAGGCATGATTATGGGGCCACCAAGGACAAATTATGAAAACAGAATATATAGCCTGAAAGTAGAATGTGGACCTAAATACCCAGAAGCTCCTCCATCAGTTAGATTTGTAACAAAATTAATATGAATGGGATAAATAATACCAGTGGAAAGATGGCTGCACAGAGCATACTTGAAGTAGCAAAATGGCAAAATGCATGTAGCATTCAAGTTGTACTTCAAGAGCTAAGATGTCTAATGGTGTCCAAAGCAAACATGAAGCTTCTACAGCCACCAGAACAAACATACAACAGTTAATTTTAATGAAGCTCAGACTTGCCTTAAATCAACAACCTGCTACTCACATCAATGTCTTGACTAAACATCACAATGCAAAATACCACACATTCAGTAAAGAATTCCAGCTGGGATACATGGTCTGGACATTTGTAATATATTTAATGTATGTACACCCATTTTGTTTTTAGGTAACGGGAGGAAAAATGTAGCACAATTTTTCTTTCTCTTGTTGAGGCACTGTCATTTAAACATTAACCTGGAGTGCTCCAACTAGGATTCAGGTTTTCAAGATGCAAGCATGGAGAGACATGCGAGATGGCAGTGGAAACATGCGTTTCTGAAAAGTAAAAATCCCAATAAGGACAAACAGAAATGGCATGTTTTATCCATCTTGTTTAGTGAAAGAGCTGCAGGTGACATTATTTAAAGTAGCAGGTACAATGAATATTGTCACAGATAGTGTTAAATTTTGAAGTGCTGTAGGTGCTGACTACCAGTAGAATAAAAATATGTTCAGGATTATATTGATACCTTTATTTATAATAAAAATTTGGGGGGTTGATGAATTTCTGTTAAAAGCTATTCCTGCCTGTTACATGTAACAGACAAGGTGAATATTTGTTCACATTCTTTGCTTAACAAACCATGCATTTAAGTTTAAGTGAAGTCAACAAAAAGGGGAAATATTTGTATAGATATGTGATTTTGAGATTAAAGTTAGTCTTAAAATGTAAATAAAATGTGGAAAGTGTCCTCAAGAAAAAAATCACTTATTTAGAGGATCTCATTCTGATATCTGAGCTGGAAGAAAAATGAATTATTGAATATAAGAATAGATAAGATGAGGTTATCCACTCTAGGGGTAAGAAAGACTAAGATTGAAGGAAAATGAACAGAACTTTAGAGACCTGTGTGATACTATCAAGCATACCGACATATGTATGAGAAGAGGTCTAGAAGGAGAGGACTGATGGAGCTAATAGGGTATTTAATAGTGATAGAAAACATTTCAGATTTGATTAAAAATAATCTATACATCTGATAAGTTCAGTAAACTCCAAATAGGATAAAACAAAGACATTCCCACTTAGATGTCCTAGTCAGACTATAAAATGATATAATCTTAAAAGCAAAATATAAAAATAACCATCCTGTGCAAGGGCTCCAGAGTCAAATTAGTAGCTAAGTTTTCATCAGAAAGAGCAGTTAAGACACTACTTGGTATACCTGCATCTCAAATTGGGATGCCTGATTTGGTCCTGGCTCCTCTGCTTTATATCCATCCAGCTTCCTGCTAATGCGTACCCTGGGAGGTAGGAGATGATGCCTCAAGTCCTTAGGTCCTTACCACCAACATGGGAGATAGGAATTGAATTCCAGACTCCTGGCCCAACGGTGGTTACTAAGGACATTAAGGAAGTTAGACTAATTGATAGAAGTCTCTATTTCTCTCTGTTATCTCTTTGTCTTTCAAATAA